TCATGCATAGTCAAAAATTAGAATAAATAATGTGTTCTACATTTAAAAAATAGAGAAGAAATTAGAGCTTTAAGAGAGATGGATGAAAGCACTCATTTGGGTCTATTAAGACTTAGTTTTTAAAGTTATCTAAACCTAAGTTTGGTGATTTTATACATCCATGAGCTTGGGCTCATAAATGGATAAAATGGTCTTAAGTATGGTGGTTGGAAGCCATGAATAATGATTAATGAGTTTATTGGTGTTATTTAGAGCTAATGTGAATTTATAAGCTAAAGATTGTATTTAAGCTTAAGAATTGGGAGTTTTAAGTGTCTAAAGTGATGTAATTGAGAGTTGGAAGTGTGTTTGTAATGATATTATTGTTAGGCACTGTCCAAGCTTGGTAAGAGCTTTAGAAGTGAATTAAAATTTAAGGGTAAGCATTTAACTTCTCAAAGGTTTAAAGTAACTAAGCAAAAAAATCTAATTTTATGCATTGCTTGTTAGTTGATTGTAGGACCTTGTAAATATGCTTGTGAATATGTGAATTTGAGTTTGTATTTGCTAAAGGAGGACACATGTTTTTTTTTAAGAATAAGTGTGAGTATGAGTTTTTGAAATTTATGATCGATGAGATCTAGAATAAATATGATATTAATTATGCTTTAGAAATTACAAGTATGAGTGTGGCTTAGAAATTTATGTTCGAAGTGAACTTGAATAAAATAAGTTTAATTGAGACTTTACAATGAGCATTATGATTATTTATGAAATTTGTGGATAATGTAGTTGCTAATGAGAAAGCTTGTAATTGTTATAAGATTGTGATGAGATAGTATGAGATTATGAAATAAGATGATGGTTTCTGTGGTATGAGGTTATGTGCTGGGCCATAAGTAATGACAAATGAAATGAAATAATGAGTATGATGTGTTGTCTTGCTTTTAAGCATGATGGATTGAATACTAGCCTGCTATTTATTCTAAGCATGTACACATGATCATGATTAGTGAGAATTTGCCTTATGTAAGGATTAGTGTAAATTCATATGGTATGACCGCCTTTTAGTAATCAAAGGCTAGCCTCTATCCCACTATTTATTGAGGGACCTTCCTATTGTTTGTTAAGGGATTTGAACGTAGCTTGTCTCCACATAACTTATCTCTACTTATTCATCGAGAAGACTAGCTTAGAGATAACAATACCCTAGAGATTTGAGAATGGTGGAAACTAAGGTCCTAGAGTAAATGTAGTGAACTTTACCCAAGTTACTCCTCATAATTAGTGAGCTTGGGTAGTCCATTCATACGGATAAAGGCCTATTTAATTTAGTAGGCCATGGTTTTAGTCAAAGGTAGCAAGAGATTATAAAGGAGGTGTTGCTTATGCATTTCATTGTTAAATCATCACATGATTGATAAGTTTGTGACAAGATTATATTGTGCTTATAGGAATGCGATATGAGATTGGCGTAAAATTGTGATTTGTGATGGTTTTGTTTTTCAAAAGAATATGTGCTACTTTGTGCTTTTCTATGATTATTAACATGCATGTACATTAATTAAATGTATCTAATTATTGAGTGGTTATACTTACCCTTCTTTTTACATTTTATAGGTATTAGCTTGGGGCATCATAAAGGAAAAGTTTTAAGGCATAGGAATATGGATTCCTATTATAATGCCTCACTATTTCATTTACTAATATGTGTAATTGAATGTGATATTGCCAACTAGGAAATTAGTTTGGTTATACTTGCACTAATGGTACATGCATGATTAAGTTGGTTGCGTTTTAAGCCTTGAATCATTATGTAATTTAGTTATTTCAATAGGGCTAAAATACTAGTGCGAATATAATTATGATTACATTGATATTTATCAATGATTAGCTTAATATATGTAATGATGAGAACTCCCCCCACTGTATTTGATATTGAGGGATTGAGGGTTGAAAATGAGAAACATGTGTATTTTGTTTCTTGTGGTGTATACACAGGTAGTTTAAGTCTACTGAGTGTGGTCTAAGTGTTTCGTTGAGCTTTTGACATTTTGATTTGGTTTGAATACCCTAGTTTTTGTGGTTGTGTGAAAAAGTAATTAATTGCATTTGGATGTTCAACTTTTTAGTATGAATTAATTTAGGGTAAACCTATACCACTAGCTAGCTTGTAAAAAGAGCTTTTAACAGACATCTAGATCGCCTTAATCGGATGTTGGACGGATAATTGAGGCATGCCAAAAGTTTGACCTTATGCTATTGAATGACAGTAGGTTTGCTATCAATCTATATAATGCACCGTGACATGTGCTACAAAGAGGATGAGCCATGATGAATGTGCATATACCGCAACTCAATCCTCTATTTCTTGATTTCTTGATATTTTAACTGATTTTCAATGATTTTAAATATCAACTGATATCCTAACTTTCAAAATTATTTATACTATGATTTATATTAGTTTAATTAGTTTAACAATTCCTTTATCATTAAAAGCTTTTTGGCCAAAAAAATATCATTAAAAACTTAAATCCCATTCTTCTATTTTATGATTTATTTATTTAATTGTAGTGAACTTGTTTTACAAATGAGTTATGGTAATCTATTTAGGTTAATCTTATGATTATCGTGATAGATTTGGCTAAGAGCTAGGATAATAAAGACATTATTACAACTTTTTTGTAGGAGTGTTAGTTCGTTGTACTTCTCTTCTCATGTCCATAGCTATATTTAAATTTTAAGTATAAATGACTTTATTTTAATGTAAATTTGTCTTATATTAAAAAAATTGACAAAAAAGGTCGCTATTTTTTGCCTCACTTGGCAACTTAATCCATTGAAGATGAAGACAAAGAAATTTTGTATAATCATTTAATATGGTAGAAATATATATGAAGATGAAGATGCAAGTAATTCGCATTTTACAAATTAATCTCTACAATGAGAGTTATATACTTTATGAATGACATTAGAAAAAACATTAAAAAAAAAACTAAACACGCAACCCAAGGATGAGTCGTTACCATGCATGAAGCCATATTCCATTTCGTTGTAGTTGTTAGTTTTGCATTGACTTGAGGGACCTACTTTTAACGTTATATTGATTACAATGATTTTGAAGCTCAAATACTTTCATGGACCTACACAGTTTTGATTGACTTGAGGGACCTACTTTTAACGTTATATTGATTACAATGATTTTGAAGCTCAAATACTTTCATGGACCTACCACAAGAGGGGAAAGATGGATTTGAAATTTTGTTGGGGGTGTGACCAAAAGAGGATGAGGGACAATGAAATAATTTTTTTTTAGTATTTTAATTTTAATTCAGTGCCCTTGAATTGTAATGAATTGTTAGAGTTTATGAAGTTCTTTTTTTTTAATTAACTATGATCAAAGGATTTTAATTGAAATTTTCTTTTTAATGTTATATTGATTACATCGATTTTGGTGCAAAAATACTTTCAAAAGCTCAAGCACGCTAATTTTTTCTTAAAAGTTTACATATGATATAATGATTTTCCTTATTTTTCTCTGTTTATTGTGTTTCCTTTCTGTTGTCCATAGCTATCTTGAGATTTTTATATAGTAGTTGCTTTATTTTAATATACACTTGAGTTGTGTTAAAAAAGCACTAATAGTAAAGGTATCTTTTTGGCCTCAGGTTCCAACTAAATACACTAAAGACAATGAAATTTTGTATAGTCATTTAGAATGGTAGAAATATGAAGATGAAGATGCTAATTAATTTTTACATTTTTCAAATGGAGCCCTTCAAGGAGGGTTATTATAGTTTATAAATGACATTTGAAAGAAAAAACATTAAAAAAAACTTTAGACACATTGTCTAAGGGTGAGTCAAAATATGGCTTTATGAACCGTAATATTGTGAGAGTAGTTGCTAGTTTTGCATTGTTTTGGTGGAACTACTTCTAATATTGTATTGATTACATCAATTTTGACGCAAAAATATTTTCAAAAGCAAAAATGAAATCATTCAACGTGCTAGTTTTTTTCCCCCTTAAAAGTTCAAATATGATGCAATTATTTTTCTTATTTTCGATGTTTGTCATGTTTCTTTTCTCTTGTTCGTAGATATATTAAAATTTAATATATTAGTTGCTTTATTTTAATATAAATTTGACTTGCGCTAAAAAAGCGCTACAATAAAGTACACATTTTTTTCTCAAGTTCTAAATATAGTGAAGATGATTAAATTTTGTATAGTCATGTAGTATTATAGAGATATGAAGATGAATATCCGATATATACTTTTTGCATTTTTCAAACTAATATCTCGTGGAAAGTTATAATTTATAAATGTTATTTTGGGGGGAAAAAACCTTAAAAAACATCTTGGTTTAAGGATGAGTTGTCACCATGTATGAAGCCATATTTTGAAATATGATTTTATGAACCATAAAATTGTGAAAGCAACTGTTAGATTTTTTTTTTTTTTTTGAGTACATGGCCACAGAAAACCTGTGCAAAAAGAAAACTATCCTATCATATCAAAATACATGATATTGCTACACTTAGAAGCTGCTAGTTTTGCATTAACTTGGTGGGACTACTTTTAATGTCATATTGATTGTATCACGTTAGTGCAAAAATGCTTTCAAAAGCTCAAATGCAATGATCAAACAGACTAATCTTATCTTAGAAGTTTAAATATGATCCAAAGATTTTCCTTGTTTTTTCTTTGTTTGCCGTGTTTCTTTTATCGCGTCCATAGATAGATACTTAGGATTTTACCCACTTGTAGTTTTATTTCAATATAAATTTGTTTTATGGAAAAAAAAATAAGGCATTGACAAAAGAAGTTAACGTTTTTGTCTCAAACTCAGTCACCAACTTAATCGTTAATACAGTGAAGGGGAAGAATTTTTTCTGTCAGGAAAAAAAGGTGGTGCGTGACCGCAAGCATTCAAACCATGAGGATAAAATGGTAATTGTCGCAAACGCAAGTCTTACGCTCAAAAACAGAGGCATTAAAGCGCCAATGAGACTATCCTCAAAGAAAGAAGCTTTTCATGGTATTCTAGTCCGAGAAAACTACCCAAAGTAGTATGTATTAGCGGATTCAAGACCCGAAAATTTTCTTTTTTTCTTGATTATGATAAAATGGGTGAAATCTGGAACCGGTTATATTGGAAGTGTCTGCTTGCATGTTCAACACCTTGCCAGATATCACTGACTTTGTTGTGCTGTGTTGTTTGCATTTGCTTGGTGTTTGGCTAGGGTTATAAATATACGGCCCTCACTTTCAACGCAAATGTGGTTGAGTTTCTAGGTTTCTGAGCTGGAAATCAATGGCTCCTTCTGACAATGAAGTGCTTCAAACTCTTGTGGATGTTGGGGATAGCCTTCTCAATCATCTCTCTTCCACTGATCAGCTTCTCGCTCTTCTTGATGTGATTTCCTCAATTCCCTTTCTTCTGCATATCTTCATTTTATTTTTATTCTTCGGGAATTTCATTGTTGTGATGAATTGAGTTGATCATGAATTTATTTGAGTTGGTGTTCATTTCCTGCTACGTTCTGTTGCTGTTCAGGGTTTAAGATTGATGGTGGAGATGTATGGTTTTCCTTACCCTTTTCTTCTTTCTACAATAATTTTACGTGATAGATTGTGTTTTTTGATGCTTTCCTTGCAATTTTTCCTTTGGGGTCTACGGGAGACTTCGGTAGGAGTCTAATTGGGGAGGGGGATGAGCAAGTGGGAAAACAAACCCCCATGTCGAGCCAAGGGTCTTGAGGCTGATACTTGGCATATCTAATAGGTTGGCACACGCAAATTCTGCATCTGAATGGAGCATTTTCAAATTGAAGTTCTGTGGTTTTCTTAAGTTTCTTTTTTCGTTGAATGATTCTCATTGTGGTCTATTGCTTCTTTCAGTTGCTTCAGGGTAGTGATTGATAAATGATACTATGCGAAGCTGATGCTCTTTAGATTTTTGATGTTATAGTAAATATCCTTTTGTAAATTTTTTTGCATTATATGTAAGCGTGTGTCTTTAGGTTGGTGCATGAGCTCTTGGTTTTGCAGGCACTGCATCTTTCTTGTTAAAAGAATTCCTGTGACAATCCTTCCCAACCCAGCGTGACTCTGACTTGATTCTCTTGTGTGGTTTTATAACTTTCAGAAACTTGAGAATTTATTATCAACTTTGGACCAAGAACCAGATGAGGCAGTGAAAGAAGCGATTCTACCATCAATGAAGGCATTGATTTCCAGTGAACTTTTGAGGCATTCAGACGAGCATGTTAAGATTTCCGTTACATCTTGCATCGCTGAGATTACTAGAATAACAGCACCAGATTCCCCTTATGATGATGAACAGATGAAGGTAATGATATTTATTTTATAAATCAAACATGCCATGTTTCTGTCAAACCATGTTAAGAAACTTTATATTGCATTTTCTTTATGATTTTTCCATTTATTTTCTTCCTGGGACTATACAAAGATAGAACTACATTTTGTGGTGAACAGGAAATTTTCATGCTCACCGTCAAAGCTTTTGAAAAGTTGTCTGATGTACCAAGCCATGGTTATGAAAAGGCACTTTTAATAGTTGATAATGTTGCAAGGGTCAGATCGTGCCTGCTGATGATGGACCTCGAGTGTGACGACTTGATCATTCAAATGTTTCAGATTTTCCTAAGAGTTATTAGGTTGGAGCCATGTCATCACATTTGTGTTGTCTGTTTTTTCATATTCAAGTCATATTTGGATATGAAAATCATAAAATTTGCTAACAAACAATATATATTTTGGTTTTCACAAGGTGGTGCTAATTAAATATATCAATTGTGGGGAAGATTGAAATTTAGAACTTTGATTTATAACCTTTGTTCTATCACAACTATTATTTTATTTTATTTTTTATTAGTTGTATCACAGTTAGTTTTGGTACACTTTTGAATTCATCAAATTGATTTTTAGTCAGAGATAACGTTTTGATGCCTCCAGTTGTGATTTGTTCTTTTTTATACCATGGATAAGTTGTACAGCATCTGAAGTAAATTGCTGCACCCAACTTCATTTACACTCTATTGTCATTGACATTGTTGACATATAAAGTTTACAAGGCAGTTTGTTAAAGAACTAAAATATATTTTGATGTTGAAATTAGGACCTGATTTTTAAATACTGTATATAATCTTTGAGAAAATAGTTGAGAGATGCTTCTTAAGGTTTAAATGCCTTTGATGAATTTTTTGTGCTGGGCATCACCTATGAAGTGGTGCAACCGAGAGAGTTGAGGGTGTCTCTGCATTTACTCTCTGGCATTGATTAGTAAAGTTTTTGGGATGTTGTTATTGTAACAAGTACTAATGCAAAACTAGCTTGCTTTTTTCCTTTTTCTAAGTATCTTCACACACTTTTATATGAACTAATGGTTTGTGGTTTTTCTTGCTCAATTTCAAGCCCAAACCACCCTGAGGTTGTGACCTTTGCGATCGAAGCAATAATGACAATGGTCTTGAATGAGAGTGAAGAAATTTCCACTGATCTTCTTAGTCCAATATTAGATAGCCTGAGAAAGGAAAATCAGGTAACTACTGGCTTTGCACTATGTCAATTTTTTCTCATCTCCTTTCTTTAAACTTTGTTAATTTCCTTTATTCATTTTCCTAGACAAATTCACCTATCTCTTGGTCATTGGCGGAGAAAGTTATTGCCAATTGTGCTGATAAGCTTCAGGCCTATCTTATGAGAGCAGTGCAGTCCACAGGCAGACCTCTGGATGCTTTTGCTGAAATAGTAGCTTCTATTTGCCAGAGAGGATCTGAAACTCTTCAGTGCAATCATTCTAATGATCCTAGAAACCCATTGGTGTGTTCTACTTGTCTTATGCAATACCCTATCCAATTAACTGGTATAACTAGTTTTTTTATATTCTTGCTTAATCTTACTTTTGCTGCGTGATATGGGAAACGATGTGACCACTTTAATTCTGATACTTTCTGTGAAACTTTCACCGTCACTGTAGATTCAGTTAGTTTATTTACAATCCCCTTTAGATCAAATTAGATTTAGGGATAGATCTTTGGTTCATAAATTAATATGGTGAAAGCCAAGGGTTCTGACCACAGTGTGAAAGGCACAACCAATTTTAAAAATACATGACATAGGTCAACAATAATGCACAACCAATTTAAAAATACATGACATAGGTCAACAGTAATGCATAGTCAGCCTTTTATTACTTATTTTTGTCTGGGTAATCAAGTTAAAATGTTAGATCCTTGTTGGGAAGGATTGACTCTCTAGTGAGCAACTAATTTTGATGAGGGGAAAGAATTGCAACAACAGATTGAGTGAGAAGTCCATGTATTGATCTTGTTATTTTGGAGTATAATGACCCTAATGCCTTGTGTGCTCTGTCATTTTCATATTGTTAATCAATATTCTGTAACAAGAGGACCTTACATGGTTTCACAATCCATGCTCCACATAAGCTCTGTGTTTCCTAACAAACAGCTATTTCAAGATGGTTTGAGGCTTTAATCTAGATGTAAATTAGGATTGGTTGTGGTGCAATGCTTCCAGGTTCAGGAAGATGAAAACGAGCTTTCTGTATGCAAAGGTTCAGATAAGCAATCCTGTGATGTAATTATCTTTTATATCTCCCTGCAAGTTATTATTTTTTTTTTCTTTTCTATTGCAATTGATAACTTAATGAGAATGTCAAGTTATATGTGTTGATCATGAGCCTATCCTGCATAAGTTTTATTGTTATTCTTTTGGATTGGCATTCTTCCTTTCTTACTTATGTCCCCTTTGTTTCCTTTGTATTGTTATTAGTTTTTAATATAGTTTAAGTTTTTTTTTAATTTTGAATTAGCTAAGTTAGTGGAATTGATTGGTAGTCTTGTTTCCTACTTCTCTTTATATGCTTGCCTTCTTTTATCACAATGATAATGAGCATTCAGTTATTCCACTGAATATCTAAAATATTCAAGCATCTTTATTCATGGGTAATTAAGGACCCGGAACCAGATATTGCTTGTGCAAGACAAGCTGAGACTATTGATGACGCCAAGCTGAACAAAAGAAATCCCAATTCTACTGCGGACAGTGAAATCATCAAAAAGAAAGCTGCAAATAGGCAACCTCATTCTGATCTCACTAAGAATGAGAAAAGAAACAACGCAAAAACCAATTTAGAAAATGGAAATTCGCAGTCAGTTGAAAAATCTAGTTCAGAAGCTGAGCTTGATGTTATGCCAAAGAAAAGGGGTTATAAACCTAATTCTTTAACAGATACAGAAGAAGGCTATGATCACTCTCAGATTTGTATGGACAGCAAATCCACAAAAGCTGTTCAATTCCAAAAGGCTGGCGACAGTGGCTGTTATTTACCACCTTCTGAGAGCCCTGCTTCCAGAAAAAATAATTTGCAGTTGGAGTCTGAAAATGTGGGTGAAGTTTTTCAAGCTAAAGTTGAGAAAACCATGAAACCCAAAAAGGCTCATGATAGAGGTACCGGTCTTCCACGTTCTAAAAACTCTGCATCCCAAAAGGATAAGTTGTTTCTGGAGCCTAAAATTGCTGGTGAACTTTCTCAATGTAAAACCAAGAAGAAATCCACAAAAACATCTCGAGTCAGAAAGGCTTGTGATGGTGATATTGAGCTTTCACCTCCTGCAAACCATAATTTGCTAAAGGATAATGTTCTGAAGAAATTTGAAAATAAAGGCTGTGAGGATCTAGTGTCTCAACATGGAACTGATAAGAATATTGATGCTGCTCACCCTTCAACAAATCAGAGCACTCCTGACAGTAGCCGTCGCAAAAGGGGTCGACCAAGAAAAAATAGCAATAATCAAGGTGCTAACCTGAGGTTTGTATCAACAACTGAGGAAGACCATTTGACTGCACTGCATGAGGATATTCCTTTGGAACCTGCTAGTCTGAGGTTGGAAAAGGATCGTGAAGTAATGAAAGATGCTGAAGTGAAAAATCGGGCACCTCTGAGGAAAATCAAAGTTGCTTCTAAGACTGATGAGAATACTGCTGTGGTTACTGAATCAATAGCTGGTGAGATGAGAGGTAAAACTTGTGAAGATGAGGAGAAAGCCACGCCAGTGGTGAATATAGAGACAACGAATGTAGAGGAGGATCAGGCCTTAACTCAAACAAATGTTAAGAAAAGGAGGAAGCTCGATGCTCTGCCTAATAAAGATGTCAATGATTTCTGTACTGTTAAGGTAAGGCCAACTGTCCTGGTAGTATCTGCTTGAACAAAATAGATATTATTACTAGTAAAATCTCTCTGTGTCTTTTTGGGACAAATATTTTGACCTATTTTATAAGCAGCTAACTGATTCTGTGGCTAAGAAACTCACTGGAGTTGAAGAAACCCCTCAAACAAGACCAAGGAGGAAGAGAACTGCTGGAAGTGTTGAGGTATGTGTTACTTAGGCTTCGTTTGAAATCACATTTCAAAGTTCAAACGTGATTACCATTTTGGAAAATCGTTTTTGAAACGTGACTTTGGAACATACACCTAAAAGGTTTATTCAAACAGAGGTATTGAAGTTTCAACCCTTTGCATCAAAAACTTGAGATGTCATTGTCTTCAGCATTTTTTATGACAGTACCTGGTATTCTTTAAAAGGTGACACTCTGAAAAATGATGATTGTGTTAATTGTACCTGTGAGTTGATATGTCTTGTAACTACTAACGGAGGAATATTGTTGTTGCCTTCACGTTATTGCTTGATGGATGAGAGAGAGAAAAATGCGTTTTATTGTTTTAAATCATCCATGCGTTGCCCATTGTCAAAATTTATGCCTTTAGGGACTGCCATTTTGTTTGAGTGATAATGTTAAAATTAACAAGATTTGACATGGAAGCTTTATGTTGATGACTTCTAATTAAAACTCCTTTGCATCAGAAGCTTTTTGTGGTGTTCATCCATTGGAACCTGTCCCTTCTCAAGTTAATTATTTCTTGACATATGCTTTTTTTTTTTTCCAAATTTCTCAATGTATTCTTTCTTTTACTTTTTCTTCAGGCTGCTGAAATGCGTGACTGCAATGAACTTTCAGTTGGTAGCAGGATCAAGGTCTGGTGGCCAAAGGATAAGAGGTAAGTGTCCCCGTGGAGCTATTGCACAATCCATTTCATCTGCTACCAATGTTTTGACTTGATATGCTTTAATGCTTGACGAAATTTCATTCCATGAAATGCAAGAACTCTTATTATTTTGCTGAGGTGTCTGACTGCAATGAAGGTCCTTAATTAACTTGTTTTGGGGCCTGTAGACCTGAATTGATTTCTTTTTTGGCTTTGTTTGTTTATCAACTATGATTTCTTCCACAACATTGTGGGAGGATGGAAAAAATTCAAAATCTAAATGTGAAGAGCATAATGTAGGCCTAGCTGCATTGTACCAAATGATGTTGTACCTCCATATTTCTGAACTATCCATGACATAGGTCAACAAAAATATTTCGAGGAAACAATGTTATGCATTGTACTCAGCAAGTCATGATGCATGCAAAATCAGGTTACTACATGCATGCCCCCCAAATTATATTCTTTAATCTTAATATAATAAAATCTATTTATCATTTAGTATATTCTTAAATCATTTATAATTTACTTCTCCGTAATTTATAACCAAATTATTCAGAAAAAGTTCCTTTCTTCTTATTATATCAATGTTCTTTTATAGTGAACAAAAAAAAAAAAGAATGACCAAAAAGTCAAATGAAAGAAATTTTGTGAAACGAAAAACAGAAAATGAAGATTATATTATTAATTATTCTTGAAGAAGAAGACATAAAATTGCTAAGTATTGGATTGGCTAATGAATATACTTTCTTTGCCTCAATCAATCCATTGATCTAGACCTTTTCAAGGACCAGCTGGATGTTTATCCCGTATATGTTGAGCTACCATTTTTTTTTTTCAGGTTTTATGAAGGTGTTGTTGATTCTTATGACTCTGCCAAAGGAAAGCACAAGGTGAGATAGATTTGACTGATCCTATTTTATCTGTCTAGATCATCACGCCTATTTGAACCTTCATCTATTTTCTTAATTCCTGATAGAACTTTTTGAAACAATGCTTCATTTTGATTTGTACTTATCATGCAAGGAGGTTATCATTCATTTCCAGACTTTGCAATAGTACAAATTTGCTTGAACTTTTACTTGAGTTTCCATGATTCTATGGGCTTTGAGCCTAAAGTTTCCTTGCACTGGATTGACACACACAAAACTTATCTTTTCCAAGTTAGATGTATGAAGTGTTGGAATTTATATATTCATCAAGATTCAAGAGTTATGAAGAATTCAATTCTTGCAAGTTAAGAAAATATTTCGTTATAACATACACAAAGTAAAGAGCATGTGTCTTTGTCTAACATTGAGGAATTTTTGCTCTCCCTATCTGGTCAACAATATTTAACTTGCCCCAGTTGTATACCTGAGCATTTTTGGCAGTGACTCCGAAAGTGTGAAACAACCTAGTGAACTATGAATTTTTTTTTTTTTTGCCCTTTTATGTTTCTAATGCCTTTTCAATAGATTTTATATGTTGATGGTGACGTGGAAGTATTAAACCTCAAAAAACAACGGTGGGAGCTTATTACGGATCATGTCCCCCTTGATGCAGTGAGTGTCAAATATGGATGCTTATTTCATTTTCGTCCTGTAACACCCATGTCATAGATTTCTCTTATGCCTACTGATCTTCTGCTGCCAGGATCAAGAAATTGATCTCCAACAGATTGAGCCAGTGACATCAGATATGTAAGTATAATTTATCTGGGGAACATTAATGCAGAATATTACTGGTATTACTGTTTTCAACTCAAGCTAGCCAGTCAAACCCTCAATTAGTGCTGATATGTGATTGTGAGAGAAACACCCTGACCATGCAAATATTGTCTTTGGCCCTTGTTGGTTCCAGGATCTAAGTAATTGCTTAGAAGTTAAAATATTTGAACATGGCGTTACTTTTTATAAAGAGTAACTGGTTGTTGATATTGCTTTGAACCCATTGTCATTATTGGCATGATCGTGGTCTGGTCTGCTTGATATAGGACCTACATGCTGCTCAATATGATTTGCTTCAGCAAGATGCTGTATGTGGCTGAGGTCTCAAATCTAGGGATACAACTAGATTTCAACGCTCACAAATTTTCAAACGGATCTTTTCTTGAAAGAGAATAGGAATATTTGTTGTAAGCACCATGAATAATGTAGTTGTAAGGTAGAAAAACATGTATTGGTGTTCTTATCAGTCACTTGGTTTAAATATAGTTGCTCCGTTGATGGCATTAATTAATGATGCAGCCTTTGTTTATTTTTTGTTTGAATCTCCTGGCTAATAAGTTTAAATATTCTGTTAAGCTTATGCTTTTAAGTTGTTCATGATGCGTAGAGATGATACAAGAAAAGGAAATTCAGCATCCGGGTCAGCCAAAGGAGCGAAAACAATTGTCGCAGGACTAGGTTGGTGTGTAATAGAAGATTTAAGTGTGTTTTCTTTGAGCCTTTTATTGAAATCTTCTAATGAATGAGTAGGGGTAGAGCATCTGCTAGAATCTCCAAATCGGCTTCTGCAAAATCTGCTGGAAAATCTAAGCATGATTCCGCAGTTGATGAACCCATTGAGGCTGATGAATCTGCAGTAAAGAAGGATGAGCAAGACTCAGCTGGGAAGTCAAAAACCAAAAGATTGAAGATTCTTTCTGATAAGAAGACCAAACCCAAAGATAATTCTGCAATTGATGAACCCATTTTGGCTGATGAATCTGCAATTGATCAACCTAGAACTAAGAATGAGCAAGACACAGCTGCGAAGTCGAAAACCAAAAGATCAAAGATTCTTTCTGATAAGAAAAACATCGAATCCAAGGATAATTCTGCACTTGATGAAGCCACTCAAGTTGATGACACTGAAGTTGATCCACCTAGAACTAAGAATGAGCAAGGCTCAGCTGGGAAGTCAAAAACCAAAAGATCGAAGATTCTTTCTGATAAGAAAAAGATCGAACTAAGGGATAATTCTGCACTTGATGAACCCATTGAAGCTGATGACTCTGCAGTTGATCCGCCTAGAACTAAGAACGAGCAAGGCTTAACTAGGAAGTCTAAAACCACAAGATCAAAGATTCTCTCTGATAAGGAAAAGATCAAACCTAGGGATGATTCTACACTTGATGAACCCATTAAAGCTGATGACTCTGTAGTTGATCCGCCTAGAACTAAGGATGAGCAAGACTCAGCTGGGAAGTCAAAAACCAGAAGATCGAAAATTCTTTCTGATAAGAAAAAGATTGAACCTAAAGATAATTCTGCACTTGACGAACCCATTGATGCTGATGACTCTGCAGTTGACCCACCTAGGACTAATAATGAACAAGACTCAGCTGGGAAGTCAAAAACCAAAAGATTGAAAATTCTCTGTGACAAGAGAAAGATCGAACCAAGGGACACTTCTGCACTTGATGAACCCATTGAAGCTGGTGAATCTGCACTTGACCCAGCTAGGACTAATAATGAACTAGACTCAACTGGGAAGTCAAAAACCACAAGATTGAAGATTCTCTCTGATAGGAAAAAGATCAAACCTAGAGATAATTCTGCACTTGATGAACCCATTTTGGTTGACGGCTCTGAAGTTGATCTGTCAAGAACTAAGAATGGGCAAGACTCAGCTAGGAAGTTTAAAACCAGGAGATCGAAGATTCTTTCTGACAAGAAAAAGATTGGACCTAAAGATAATTCTTCACTTGATGAACCCATTGTGGCTGATGAATCTGCAGTTGATCCACCTATAACTGATAATGAGCAAGACTCGGCTGGGAAGTCGACAACCAAAAGATTGACGATAGTTTCTGACAAGAAACAGTTCAAACCTAGGGATGATTCTCCACTTGATGAACCCATCGAAGCTGATGAATCTGCAGTCGATCCACCTGCAACTAATAAGGAACAAGAATCAGCTGGGAAGCCTAACACCAGAAGACCGAAGATTCTTTCTGATAAGAAAAAGATTGAAACCATTGTGGCTGATGAACCTGCAGTTGATCCACCTAGAACTGATAATGAACAAGACTCAGCTGGGAAGTCAAAACCCAAAAGATTGACGATAGTTTCTGATAAGAAACAGATCAAACCTAGGGATGATTCTCCACTTGATGAACCCATTGAAGCTGATGAATCTGCAGTTGATCCTCCTAGAACTAATAATGAACAAGAATCATCTGGAAAGTCTAGAACCAAAAGATTGAAGATTGTTTCCGGTATGAAAAAGATTGAACCTGAGACTGATAATGTGCAGAAGTCAAAATTGCGGAAGGCTTGAATCTTGTTCTAGGAAATGCATCAAGAAGATGAGCAAAGGTGCGAAGAAATATTACCATTCTTTAATCTCATGCAGTGAAATTGTGCAGGGAGCTTCTAATTTTGGCTTTATCAGTTTAATGGTTTATCAAGTCATGTTTCAAATTTTCATTTTTTTTTTTTGGTTATTACTGTTACATGTACTTAGGTCCTTCCTGAGCAAATGAAAGGGCTGTTGTTTCATATTTAATCTCAAAACTGGACTCTTGGTTTTGCATCCTAGCTTTTGAACATGTTATTATATATATATATATACACATACATCTATTAATGAAGGGTCCAAAACTATTTACTACAATGGTGAAGGGTGCATGTTTCAAGTGAGGGGGGGGGGGAACTGTAATAGTTGTCACTTTAACTCTTTCTTTCATCTGCTTAACTTATGATGAGCGGTTTAGTTCTTGAAGAGAAGTGAATTGGACAAGTTTATCAAGTAAAATGGAATAGAGTAAATAACTACCTAATGTCTTCTATCTTGAATCAATCAAGATTTTCAAACAATGTCATATATTCTAGAAATTTAATAAGTTTTAATTTTATGAAGTTTTATATATGAGAAAAAGAATCCAGTCAACATTCCATTGACTGTGATATCTTCCTCCTGAAGTCCTTTGACAACTATAAAATTTAGAAACGTGACACTTGTCAAACTCCTAATTTGTCTTTTACTCTTTCCTCCATTAATGCATCGATATTAACTCTCTCTCTTTGTAACTTGTTTACTTTTGTTAATATACATTTGATCTTTTTCTAAAAGATGAAATATTAATAATTTTAATTTAATAGCATATTTATAATTATCACTATCATACTACTGTGGCTTATTGGGAGAATCTTTTTCATGGTCAAGCGTATGACTTGTAATAGATAAGAGGATGTTATTATTCAGTGTAGGTGGCCAAATAGTAAGGTGCAACTTGCCTTTAAATTGGAGATCAAGCATCACAGTTAAGCTTCTAAATCCGATGGGTCACCATCACCTAAATAAATGTCAACAAGAGTTAGATAGCCTCAAGCATCAACTAAATGTCTGACAGGAGTTAGATAGACTTTAGAGAGAGAGAGAGAGAGAGCGTTGAAGGCTTCAAGCTGTGGAGAACAGTAGTAGCGGTGTATTTTGAATGATGAATGAGGATGAAACTCCTTCAAATGTTTGGTTTTATGGCAAAGTGATGTGAAGCCAAGCACAGGGACCATACGACAAGAAGCAGATCACGAAAGATTTGGCCAATGTTTAAGTGCAAAATCATCCAACTCTGTTTATTATTAAGAAACACAGAATTTATGCCAGTGAAAAACCGAAATGAAAAGAGTATCAGATTGAAGTACTCAGTCTTCAATCTCACTAGGATTAAACCATGTTCCATGTTTCAAAGAAACTTATCAGCAAAATCTGAATATGAGGATTTGAATCCACCTCTTTATACAATGTCTTTTTACCAATATGAGTAATATTTATCAAGGTATTAAAAATAAGACTAATTATTAAATCAATCATTGAAGAGTTAAATGATTAAAACAAAAATTAAGTTGCAGTCATTTTATTGAACCGACTTAAAATCTTACCTATTTAACTGACGGAATTGACCTTGTGAGTGCTTTTGGAGTTATTTTACCGAAATGGGCTGAGTGAAAGAAGTGGAGCCCGGGACGGGAAAGAAAATGCAACTGAGGGAGACCGGGACGCAGTATAATTAGTTGAAATGTTGAATGCTGATTGGTTGAATATGTGGGTATGGGAAGAGAGACCACTCCATATGGATAAAACGGAGAGTTCATTGGGCTCCTCACAGCTCTGCGTTAGCTGGCCCTCTGTTTGCTTGTTCTCCTAAAAGTGACAGTTTTCATATCTTCCTTTACGCTTTTCACCGACCTCCGACCCCACCTCTCTCTTTTTAATTTATGCACGCCCGATCTTTTTTCATTTGGATCATTGTGGTCATCATAGATTAATTTTTATTGATTACTGACGCTATGATTAGTTGGAGGAAAAGTAAGGACAAGACCTAAGGATTATAGGAATCACCCTCCCTTCCCTCCAATTTTTTCTATCTAAACAAGGGAAAGGAAAATTTTATTCCACTACAACGGCATAGACTCTTCCTAGCTAATAAATTAGCTATGTATGTAAAAGGGTTGGAATTCGAACTTTTGGTCACTTGTCTAAGTGATCAGAATTCCTGACATCCACCCTAACTTAAGTTGGTATTTATAATTTAAGAATGTTTACGAGACAAAATGGGACTGAAATAGCCCTGTTTGTGTCCCGTCCAAAAAAAATAAACAAGAATGAATTATTGTTGTGTGTCTTGTCCTATTTCAAACTTGTCCCTTACCATTTAAGATTGGAATAAGATATGACATGACTAAGAAATATCGGTGGAGAAGATGAAGAGTAAAAGAGAGATTTGAAAAAGTAAGAATGAAGAAACTAACATCTATAGTATCACTATATCTAGATTTTCAATTCCAAGCAATTAAAACACACAAAATGGTAATAAAACTAGCATAACAAGTGAATCATAAGAGATCAACAATATAACTAAAATCTAACACAACGTTTATCAAATTATCTAATTCCTCGAGTCCAATAACAACTCGAGCAAACAACCATAAAATTACAAATACTCAATTTAAAATTAATTATTAAATTACAACAATCACAAGCCTAGAGTGAATAATATTTTTTTAAAAAAAATAATATAGATACCTGTTTGAGACATTTCGAAACTAAACCACGTCTAGTCTGTGCAATTTTATCCCATCTCAATTCTTTTGGTAATTGGAACAAAAACAGGTTGATCGGGATGAGAGCTTCTTGAACACCCCTGTCTACACCCAACTTTTTTCTTCATGTATATTTAAATGTACCTTAGTTTGTAGGAGGCTGAGTTGGTTTAACTTGTGATCTTGAATTTAAATTCTAAATATAGAATTACATTAAATATTTTTTGGGAAAGCTTTGCCACCCGCATAGTCCAATGTGATTTTCTGAATATTGGGCGGTTTGATGTCAAAAATAATCAGTTCTATAATTAGAACTTTCGTGTTTTAAAAAAAAAATTGTACGCATATGTAAAAATTCAATTTCTTCTCCACTATATTCTGGATAACTCACATGACAATTTAAAATCTAACACCATCTTTTGAAGGTGACTTGTGTTTAGATGAATTTAGCAGCAAAAATTCAGATTCTTTCAAGACTTTGCTTGGATCCCCACTCTTGACTAAATTAGTGTGAAAGATTCAAATTTATTTTTATTTGGATGCAATTCTCCCAAAGTTGACAAAATTACTTTAAGTTTTCACCCAGCACTTCGTGTTGTTCTTCTCCTAAACTTAATTGTCAGCAAATTTGAGAGTAATTAATTATTTGCATGAAATTTGGATGTAATTCTCCCAATAAATTTTAAGACGCTTTACCTGTTTTGCCTTGTTGCGTGTAACGTACACATAATGTGGACTCTACACGTTTCATTTTCTTCCAATCCAAATCTTTCGCTTTCTCTTCTCAGACAAAACAAAACGCCGAGAAGACACTCCGTCCACTTTATTTATCTTTCTATTTCCTTTTTTTTTTTTGGCCTGATTTATCTTTCTATTTCTATCCGCGTAGAGATCGTGATAAATTGGTAATGATGCAGTACAAAGAGTTTACTTTTTGGATGGCTTTATCTTTTGTCTAGGAGTTGCTTAAAAGAGAGATTAATTTAATAACTCATTGTTCTCACTCCCACAATCCAAAAACTAATCACTGATTCGTTCTATTAGAGACATTGAATCTGTGTGGTTACTAAAAAAATAAAAATAGAATAAATTTAAAAAAATCAAAACAAAAATTAATTAAAGCATTGTTGTTCAAATGATAATGATAAGTATAATAAAACCTAATATTATATAATAAAAATGTAAAAAATTAATAAATTAAGTTACTCCTATCCTTTATAAATATTTGCCAAAATCTTGAAATATTTTATCACTTTAAATTTTTCAAGTTCCATTATCATATTTTTTTTAAATCAATTTTTGTATATTGTTTAATCTGTCTTATTTAAATTGTTATTATATAATTTTAATGCATTAATTCAATCATAACTAGTTGAACCATAATCCCATCGACCCTGTTGAGTCAATTTTTTTTTTTAATCACATGTCAATATGTTTGAAACACGATTAAGCATTAAAAGCATTTTTTTTTTCCCTGAAAATTTAATCCTTCAATTGTCATATTATGAAGACTAGCTCTTCTAACCTAATTCATCATCTCCTTTGTTAAATTACTTAAAATGAAAACCCTAATAATCTCTCTCTAGAACTGCTTTTGACAACCTGGGTTAAATTTCCTGTCTTCTACATCAGACCGGGTGTCTCGTAGTCTCAGCCTTGAGAATTCAAACTTCAAATAACATGATTAATTCGTAAGCCTATTCAGCCAATGAATAATAATATAATAATAATAATAATAATAATAATAATAGCAGAAATAAATCGAATAAAACCACCCCTAATTTATTGTTCTTCCTTCTTCTTTACATAGAATCGACAATCTCTCCATTGATGTCTCTGCCTCAAGCTTATTGATGACGATTAGTTAATTAATTGGTGTCACCTTGCCAGCTCCAGACTATGTCTTTGAGCGCAGGCCTCACCTCTTCCTCACACAGCTTCACATACTCCAAGGTGTCGCCGGACGACTTGCTGAATTCCACCACCGCCACCTCCGGCGCCACCTCGAACACCTCCACCGTCATCCCCAGCTTACCCTTCCTTCCCTCCTTCGTCCCCTGCATCCTTACCATGTACTCCTTCTTCCCCGTTATCCTCAGATTCAACTTCCTCGCCACCGCCTCCAGCTTCGCCACCACCGCCGTCGCCGAGAACTTTGTTATAAAACATCGATGGCGACCTCTTCCTCGTCTCAAACAACCTCCTCAGATCAAACCCGTGTGACAACGACGAGAT